GGCGGATCTGGATGCACGAGCATTTGGACTGATCAGGAGGGTAACTTGCGCCTGGATGCGGCAGAGGGTGGGCGTGTGTACGTTGGTGATTACGACATCTTGGACCTCGCTCGACGAATTGACGATCTGAACGCAACGCTCGACTTTCCTCAAGCCAGCCAGGACGGTTGGCTTCAGCGCAGCTGGCGCATCAACCTGGGTGATCGCACCTATTCCAACCTGGTCGTGGATGCCGATGGTGTCCTCTACCTGGCTCTGCTCGATGGCAGCGTGCTTGCCCTCTCTGCCATCGGACATGTCCGCTGGCGGCTTCGGCTGGAGAGCCCCAGCTATGGCGCAGTGGTCATGATGGACAACAAAAACTTGCTATTGGGCACAGACTCTGGAAGGGTATATGCTCTGGATCATGCAGGCCACGTTAACTGGATGTTTGACACTGGCGGCGTCCCCGTCCGGTCTGGTATTGTGATCAACACGGCTCAAGACACCGTCTTTTTCAATTCCGAAATTGGCACCGTGTACGCCCTGCATGTCAACGGAACTGAGCGCTGGCGCAGCAACATCACTGGTCCCGTGTACCACAGTGGTGTGGTAGCACCTGATGGACGCTATATTGTTGTAGATCGCTCAGGGACCGTACATGCCTTTGAGGGAGCCAACGGGACTCGCGCCTGGACGTATGACACAAACTTGTCAACCATTTATACCCCGCCGATGACCATTTCGACCAGAGGGTCCGACGCCTATCGCGTTGTAGTGAGCGCGGCTGCTGAACTTCTTGAGCTGCGCCCCAATGGTACGCTGCACATGGCCCATACGTACGGCAACGCCAATTTTCACTCCTTGAACACGAACCCCGAAGGCCAGATTTTCGTGGTGACGGACAATGGGGAAGTGCTCAGCATTCACCCGGCCGGCAACGTGCATTGGAACTTCTCTGCAGAAAGCCGATCCGCTTATGCAAACTACGCCGCTACGCTCTGGGATTCTGGTACGTTTTACTTTGGTGGCGGAGACGGGCTGTTGTACGCCATCAACGCCACCACGGGCCAACTCCGCTACATATTCCCGACTGGCGACCAGCTTTTCAGTCATCCGGCTGCAAGCCCCATGGGTGATGTCGTCTACGTTGCCAGTTGGGATGGCTATTTGTATGCCATATACTAACAGTAGTGGATATGCCTCGACAGCCGACAGTTGAAGTATGCGCTTGTCGAGAGAGACCAAATGACCTTAGCCAAGAAATCGAGTTGATAGTATTTTCGCTGCAGACGCGGTATCCCTTGCCCGCAAGAGAAAACTCCAGCTTGCGTATGGTCTCCGTAAAAGTAGGGTGCGCGCAGCGCAGATCTGCGAGGGGGGACGACGGGGAACATGGATGGGGTCCTCAGCGGCGCCGCTCGCCCTTTTGCGCCTTTTGCCTTCGAGCTTCCTTGGCCTCGGCCTTTTTGTTGCGATCTGCAGCCAGATCTTGCTTATCACGCTCAGCCTAAACAAACGGGTTGCACAGGGCCACGGCTGAGACCTTGCTTGACCTGGACACGCGCCGGCACTAGTGGCAGCGCGTTAGCTTGGTAATACGGCTCGGACCTTGGCGCGCGCCGCATCACGGGCTTGTTCCTTCTTGGCTTGCAACTTCTGCTGCACACGTTGATGATTGTCGTTTTCAAAGCCAACTAACAACGTCGGTGGTCGTGAGTCGTCGGGCTTGGTCAAGTCCAGCCAGTGACAGCGGCAGCATGTCCTGGACCGAGGGTTCGTAAATGCCCTCAGGCAGGACACGTACCCGCCAACTCAGCGGCTGAAGCGGCCTTTCGCTGCTTCTTCATTTTTTTGCCGCTGACGGGCCGAGCTGGAGAGGAACGAGAATGAGGGTTTCTCTCCTTTCAGCTTTCGCAATGAACATGCCCCTGGGAGCCAGGGGAGCTCGTACGTACGCGTAAAGTCATCCGGGGCTCCATCGGGGACTGCCCCACCCCCACTCTCATCTTCACTCTCTGCCTCCGCTTGTAACACACGGAGTTTTTCCTCCTCCGCCAGAGCTGAGGGCGCGAAGGGGAAAAGGTCAGCCAGAGATGTGACCCCATGTGCCAACCCTTTGAAGTCTCACCTTTGCGCTCCCGATCCTCCTCGCGCTGCTTTTCAAGCTCAGCGTGCTGCAGCTGCAGCTTGGCTTGATAAGCGTTGGCAATTTCTGGTCCATGGGGTGCCGATTGGGAGCGGGTGGTGAGAGGCCATGAACCAGTGCCTGAAGCCAGAATTCGACATGCCTCAGACCTACCGAGAAGAGCGCTAGCGCCAGTTCCGTCAGCTTCATTGGCGGCGGCTTCCGCAGCAGCGGAAGCTTCAGCACGCCCGGTCGTTTGCCAGCGAGTCAGCAGCTCAATCGCCACCTCGGTCGCCTGGTCCTCATCCTCCTGTGCGAGCCAAGTGTCAGCAAGCCTCGACATTTGCCGGTCAAAAGCCGATGCAACAAAGGCAAAAGAAGCAACCCACGATTTCTTGGCACAGAAAGGGGACCAAAGCCTCGCGCAGCTCTTCTTGATCGGCGTCTTCATCTGAGCAAAGCCAACCAAGCCAGGTGTGCATGAACACGTGTGCGAAACCATTTGCGTGTGACCGACTCGACATGGGGCAGTCTGTACCTTGGTCTTGGATCATGTCAACAATGTATGTGATCAAATCCTCATCGTCAAACCCAAGGCCAGCCAAGCGCTCGGTAGCCCAATCGCGGAACATGGCGGCGGTCCTCGTAACGGCAACACCTGGCCTACCGCCAAAAGTGAGACAAGAAGACAAGAAGAGAAGAGAGACGAGGATGTTCTACACAAAAGAAGAGGTTGAAGAAAAAAATTTGTGTGATGAGGAGCAAACGAGTAAAGACAAGAAGAAAAAAAAAAAAAAAAAGGTCAAGGCCAGGACTAGTATTCAAATGTGAGAGCTTGGTGTCGAGCACGTCTTGATTATCGATTCATGCAGCAGGGCGGGCAACGTGGCCGGCGCGAGAACAGAGGCAGGAAGGCACGGTGGAGAGCGCAGACGAAAGCCAGTGGTGACAGCACATGACAAAAAGTGCGGCACCGGCATCCACAATCAGTGTGCGCCAGCGACATCGCGAGAGCGATGGCGTATTAGTCGCACCATGTCCCGCAGACAGTGCAACACGCAAAGCAAACACGCCAAGGGAAAAAAAGAGGCCAGAGGGTAGGCCGAAGAGTCACGAGGAGAAGAAACAAGAGTGCTGTGCAGGCAGCAAAATTAAAAGTTGAAGGCAGCGTCGCCAGACATCTTCGTTTGAGGGAAGGCAAACTGGCCTGCCTCGTTGGTCGTTGGAGCCAGGGTTTCAATCTCAGTATCCGCGTTGAAGAATGCGGCCAAACTTTCGGCCCGGCTGTGCACCTCGTAGTTATCGTGATCCAAAAGAGCTATTAACATGGCCTCGACTACGAATAGCAAACCACGATGGGGCAAGGTTGAGCCCGGCTTGCACAAGTGCTGGCGGGGACGAGTCAAGGTCTGAGAATGAATAACTTACATTCGTGCTCGTCGAGGATTTCCTTGACAAACTCCGCACGTGACTCAAGCGTCAGAGCGCGTTGGAGAGCATCCAAAAACACCACGATACCGCGTGTATCCGCCTGGAAAGATGCATCATGAGAGATCAGACGAGCCCAATACAGGCAGAGCAACGGTAAGACCCTTTTCAAGCCACACCGCCTGTCGCCACGTACCATTTCGACGGACAAAACGCAAAGGATGGCGGGAATGCCATGGTTGTCAATGACATATTCGGCATGGGCATCAAGACCTTGCGAGATGACGTTGCACAACGACCAGGCCGCATCGATCTTGACCTTCATCACCTCGTGCTATAACCAGCCACATCCCAGACATCATATGAGAAGATGCGTGGGTGAGAGCACAGATAGCAATGAACATGCCGTTTTGCAAATGACCAGCTTACCGAGTCAAAGCAGCGCTCGACCAGCGCCTGTGCCAAGTTCAAAGACAATACTACGGGTGTTGTGTCCAACGCTCATGAGCCGACGCCAAGCGCGATAAACGGAAATGATGTCGAGCCCTCACCTGTGGAGATCTGCTCAGGGGTACCAGCGCAGATGTTGGACAGCGTCCAGCATGCCTTGAAGAACAAAATAATAATAATAATAATAATAATAATAATAATAATAATAATAATAATAATAATAATTCAACCCAACGACCGTGAGTCCAAGTCGAACCGCAAGAGAAAGGAGAGCAGGCAAACCAAGCGAAAACTCACGTCTTTGCGCACGTGTGTCTTCTCCACCGTCATGAGCCGTGGCAGGACATCAAGCAAACCAAGGGCGATAACACCCTCTGTCTGTGAGTCCGAACCAGCGGTGATGCTACCGAGAGTACGGATGGCAGGCAGCTGGTGCCATCAACCACAGAGAGAAGCCGATGAGCAAGGGAGATGATGCGATGCGGAGCCAGCCGATTGCACCAAGGTACAGCCGGTGGGACAGCTGTCCATCTCAATACAATCAGCGGCCACAGCCGCGTGCTTCGCTGATTCACGCTTACCTGAGCATCGTGGGAAGGCAGGCTGAGAAGGGACATAAAGTAAGCACCGTAGGTTTTGAGAATGGTATCCAGCAGCTCTTCGCCCGATTCAGCAATGTAGCAAATGGCCCAGCAAACGTTGGAGAGGACTTCGGGGTCTTCACTGAGACAGTTGCGGAGGACCTCGAGGCTCATGCTCATCTTCTCAAAGGGTGCTGGGGGGTTTTTCCACCGGAAAAAGTTGGAGACGGTCCATGACACGTTGCGCAGGAGGTCCAGGTCTTGCTCCTCGCACAACATTTGCAAGAAACGCTCAAGCGCTCCCACTTGGATGAGGGTATCGCGAAGCATGGCGCCATCACCAGCAATGTTTCCAAGGCACCAGCAGGCCTGGTCCTTGACTTTGCCGTGGGGTGAGCTGAGCAAGTGGCACAAGGGGATAATGGCCTGGGCCTCGACAACGGCAGCTGTCTGGTGGGGCTTGCCAGAGGAGATGTTCGTCAAGATCCATGCAGTTTCGTATTGAACGTCCGAGTTCTGGTGACCCAGGAGCTGGACCAGCTTGCCAATGACACCACTTTCCAGGGTGGCCTGGATGGGCAGTTCCTTGGGGGCAGCGAGAAGGCGACGCAGCTGGACCAGGGCCTCCATTTGTGTGGCAGGGTCGGCGTCATTCTCAATCTTGGGGCGCAGGGCAGCGATGGCCTGGCCATCGGCATCAAACTGGATAAAAGCACGGGCCTCCTCACGCAGCTCTGGGGGGGGGGGGCGCAGTAAAGACAGGATTGCGAGTGCATTGGGCATATGAGCAAGCGACATGCATGTTTGTAGAGCCGGCGTGCCTCTAGAGACTCATAAGAAAGTATATTTGATTTTTTATGTTTTTTAAGACCAAGACATGGCAAGGGCGGTGAACCAGACGACGTACCACTCATGTCTCGGCGCTTGTCATGCTGTTTGAGATGTGGCGAAGGCAGGAGGAGGGTACACGCAAGCGCACGCAAGTACGTGAGAGTGGAAGAAAGGCTTGAGGCGGGTGGCGGAACGGGGAATCTTTGGCGCACGCACCTTTTCCTTGCGCTTGTCCTTGCGGAGGCTCACGGCAAAGTCGCGCCGTTTGCCGCGCATGGTCTCCGTGTCACGGCCCTTGAACTTGTACTGTGTCATACGGTCCGCCATGTTGACGGTGTAACAGGTCTGCAGAAACAAAAGCAGGCAAGGCACGCATGCGTGAGTCTCATGCGTGCGTCTCACGAGCAGGGTGACGAGAGGCGTCGGCATTGTGTCGGACACAAGCAAGAAGTTGCAAGCATTCTATTCTCCGCAAGAATGCAACCAGAGCCATGCACGCGAGCTCCCTGCTGCCTGCCCAATACCACTCGCCTGCAACACGCCTGCGCCCAAAACAACAACACCGCCGCCGACAACGAGGCCGGGACGCGACGACCAAGGGTTCACATGTACCTGACCGATTCTTTGTGTTCTTGCGAATGCGAAGAAAACTGTGTGTGAGAGTGTGAGAGAGAGAGAGAGAGAGAGAGAGAGAGAGAGAGAGAGAGAGTGTGTGTGTGTGTGTGTGTGTGTGTGTGTGTGTGTGTGTGTGTGTGTGTGTGGAAAATTCAAATTTCTTGGTGAGATTTTTGGCGTTTCCTTTGTTGAAAGGTGTCAAGTCAAGGCTTGGGGATTGCGGTGATTCAAAGGCGATGACGGCTGACCAAGGCGATGGCAGCCGGACCTGTCTCTGCCCCACCTTCCGCACAATCCCAACCAGAAATGCATTTGTATAACCCTGTACAGCGCTCTCCCCCCCAGTCGCCACGGCGTGAGGGCCAGTGAGATCAGCCCGCTCACACACACACACACACACAACCTCTCATAATCAGGCACAACGTGTTCCGACGTGACTATGGCTCTGCGCACAACTGTCAGACAAAATTTTTAGCTCTCTTTTTGGCTTGTGGAATAGCTGTGGCAGGGAGGCGATAGTTTTGAAGGATTGGAAGCCACAAAAACAAAACTAAAACTATACAGCTTCACCAGCAAGGCGAACAGCTTTGCTGCTTGCCCGCTACCAGCTGTCATGATCATCCCGTTCAGCCGGTTTTCCGTTGCAGAAGACACTCACTGCTTGCAAGCCGGTCCAGAATGACTGGCTGATCGCCACCACCGCACTTCCCTTAGGTCCCGGACCGGGCTCACGAGTGCTAAGGACGGTTTGCGCCGGTCAATCTGACCGCCACGCCCAACGTACCTGCCAAATCTATTAGCTCGGCCGATCGGGCCCCACGTATTTCTTTTTTTCTGCGCACCGACCACACTCATAGAGAGTAAGAGTAAAACGCAATTCGTCTCTCTGTCTCTGTCTCTGTCTATGTCTCTCTTTCTTCTCTCTAGTACTCTCTGTCTCTCTGTCTGTCTCTCTGTGTGTCGCCAGTTCATCTGTGTCTCTATTCTCTGTATCTGTTCTCTTTCTCTCTTTCTCTCTTTCTTTCTCTCTCTCTCTCTCTCTCTCTCTCTCTCTCTCTCTCTCTCTCTCTTTCTCTCTCTCTCTCTCTCTCTTTCTTTCTCTCTCTCTGTCTCTTTCTCTCACACAAAACGAAAAAATCTTTTCTCCCTTTTTTTTGATTTTGTTGGCTGGGGCCACTGCATTCATTTGCACGGCACACAGGTGGACTGGACTGTGTTGCTGCAGATCCAGGCCGGGACGCTTATTGTTTGCAGGGAGGCAACTTTGCGACGCCGCGTCTGAAAGCCTCTTTGGCTGGCTGGTCTTGAGCCAATCTCACCCGGTGCCCCGGGCTTGCCCAAGCAGGGGGTCGTTGAGAGACCCCAACGGGCCGACAACGAGAACAGATTTTTCCACGCCCCGGTCAGTCTCGACACCAGCGGCTTTGTACCACAGTTTGCGGCCTCCAGCAGACCCATTCGTGATTTGCCCGACAGGCACTGCGCTAAACTTTCTTTGACGATCCAATCCGTGCCTGGCAGATCACCATGAAGCTGCTGCTTGGCCTTGGCCTCCTTTGCGTGGCCTTGGTTGCGTTGCCCGCCGCGGTACGCGGTGATGAGCACGATCACAAGGTCTGTTCCCATGGCACCTGCTATGCGCCTTCTGTTGCTTTGTTCTGCACCCCGTCCTCTCGGCAATGTCTGGCCAGAGAGCCTCTTGGATCCGGGCTACCAGTGGACTGCGCAACCCCTGACCCACACAACTGTCCTCGCTGACCACCGCCGCGCGCTTGTCCACGTTGCAGTATGACAAGGGCGAAGAGGTGGTGCTGTGGATGAACACTGTGGGCCCATACCACAATCGCCAAGAAACATACCCCTTTTTTGCCCTTCCCTATTGCCGAGGCCCCAAGAAGGCAATCTCCCACCATCACGAAAGCCTTGGCGAGAACCTGCAGGGCGTTTCCCTCGCCTTTAGCGGCCTTGATATTCGCTTCCAGACAGACACCCCCGTCACAGAGTACTGCTCGGTCGAGCTCTCGGACAAAAAGTTTCGGGCCTTCTCCTACGCCGTTCGCCACCACTATTGGTATCAAATGTACATTGATGACCTCCCCATGTGGGCTCTCGTTGGTGATTTCGGCAAGGGACACGACGATAATGAGAAGGTGTCCGACGAACGCTACATCTGGACTCATAAGCGCTTCGACATTGGCTACAATGGCAACCGCATTGTCGATGTCAACGTCACCACCGGTCGTCGCGTCCTGCTTCAGCCCGGCATCACGCTCCACTTTAGCTACCAAGTCAACTTTCACCAGTCGGACATGGAGTTTGAAACCCGCTTTGAGAAGTACCTTGACCCCCACTTTTTCCAACACCGCGTACGTCCAATCCAATCTCAGCCCCGGGTGCCCTGCTTGTTCTTGTGCTTTGTCTCCCTGCTGTCATCTAGACCCTCTGCTCATGCTCACTGCACCCTGACATTTGCAGATCCACTGGTTCTCCATCTTTAATTCCTTCATGATGGTGGTGTTCCTCGTGGGCCTGGTGGCCATGATCCTCATGCGCACCCTTCGCAAAGATTTTGCTCGCTACCAAAAGGACGACGACCTCGATGACCTGGTCAGTTTGTCCCCACCCACGCGCTCTCTCAGTTTCCGACTCGGATAAGAATCGGAGACGCTGGCTCGACCCTGAAGCACGCCGGCCGTTTCTTTGACCATCTGGCCCACACTTGACTTTTGCCAATGTAGGAACGTGATCTGGGTGACGAGTATGGCTGGAAGCAGGTGCACGGCGACGTGTTCCGGCCGCCAACCAACCCAGTGCTCTTTACCGCCCTTGTAGGCACGGGCGCCCAGCTTTGCTTTGTGGCCCTCTGTGTTATCCTCTTTGTCATCATGGGCGACTTGTATACGGGCCGCGGCTCGGTCCTGACCACGGGCATTTTTGTGTATGCTGCCACCTCGCCGGTCAGCGGCTACTTTGGTGGCAGCCTTTACGCTCGCTATGGCGGGCAGCAGTGGCTCAAGCAGATGGCCTTCACCGCCACCCTCTTGCCCCTTACCGTCAGCGCCACCGTCTTTCTCGTCAACTTTGTCGCCATGTCTTACAGCGCCTCCCGTGCCATTCCCTTTATGACCATGGTCAGGCCGGACACGTTTTTCTGTCGTTCCCTCAAACCCGCCTTGCGCCCCCCATTGTTGATGCATACGCTTTCGCCTCACCACACTCGACTGGGGCTGCTACCAGGTGATCATCGTTTGTATTTGGCTGTTTGTGGTGCTGCCCCTGACTTTGGTGGGCGCAGTGCTCGGCCGCAACTTTGCCGGCAAAAGTGATCCCCCCTGCCGTGTCAACCCCGTTCCTCGCCCCATCCCAGAGAAGAAATGGTGCGTTTATCCTTTTTTTTTTTTTTTTTTTTTAAAAAAAAAAGTAGTATTTATTTATTTATTTTGGTTTAAATTGTAACCTGCCACAATCCTCGATGGCCACGTACATGCCGCTTCTCACAAACACATGGCCTTGGTCTTCCTCACAGGTACACGGAGAGCTGGCTCATCACACTCATGGGTGGCGTGCTGCCCTTTGGCTCTATCTTCATCGAGATGTACTTCATCTTTACCTCCTTTTGGGCCTACAAGATCTACTACGTATATGGCTTTATGCTTCTGGTCTTCCTCATTCTGGCCGTCGTCACGGTCTGCGTGACTGTCGTCTGCACCTACTTTACGCTCAATGCCGAGGTGGGTGTTTCACTGGAAGCGGGCGCAACCAGCCAATGCACGGTGCTGGGCCCCTATGCCCACTCACTCCATTTTGGCCTGCGCCTCGTACCAAACAGGATCATCGGTGGCACTGGACATCATTTTTGTGCGGTGCCTCCATCAGCCTCTATGTCTACCTCTACGCTTTTTACTATTACTTTTTGAAGACGAAAATGTCCGGCATTTTCCAAACCACATTCTACTTTTCCTACATGGCCCTGTTTGCCGTTGCTCTAGGCATCATCTGCGGTTCGTCAGCCGTCCCGCCTGCCAGCTACGGGTGTCTCCACTGATTGTGTATCCCTGTCTGTGCGTGTGTCTGTGTGTCTGTCTCTGGCTCTGGCTCTGGCTCTGGCTCTGGCTCTGGCTCTGGCTCTGTCTCTGTCTCTGTGCTTGTGTTTTATCTTATATCTGTTCCTGTTCTTTGATGATATGTACCTCACTTACAATCCTGCAATTGTCACCTCCTCTTTTGCTGACTCATCTTGTAGGTACGCTGGGCTTTATGGGCAGCTCAACGTTTGTGTACAGGATATATAAGAACCTCAAGATTGATTAGAGTCAGCGGTTGTAACGACCTGGTTGAAAAGGCGGCCGGGCTTTCACAGCAAGAAGAATGGCCTTGTCCTTGTTTCGTTTGTGGCCAGGTTGTGCTTGTGTTGCGCTCAGGACAGCGCGTACAAGATTTATCCACCAATCGACCCATACTCCTCCCTCCCAGTGCCTCCGGCTGCCCCTTCCTCCATAGTCTGACGTGGTCGACGAGATCGTTGTCCTTGCTGACGTGGAATCTTCTGAAACGATATTTTTGTGACATCAAAATGAAGCAACATTCATGTAAGCAAAATAATGAAGAAACAAGGGCTCCATTTTCCAGACCTCGGCTCTCTCTTTCATGCGCCCTCTCTTCTTTCTCTCTCTCTGTCTCTCTCTCTCGCATGCGCTCGCTCTTCTCTCTCTCTTTCTCTCTCTCTCGCGTGCGCGCTCTCTTCTTTCTCTCTCTCTCTCTCTCTCTCGCTCTCTCTCGCGTCAGCCTGCTTTTTAACTTCTTATATCCTTCTCAGCTGTCGGTTGGGCTGGGCTGGGCGGAGCCAGTGGCGAGATGGTGGGACCATTTCGCGCCCGTCGGCGCGGTAACGACAATTTGGCGCTGCTGCTGTTGGCTGGGCAAGTGATGCAGATTGGGATTGAGAACATTCCACCAGCCACGCTCTTTCTGTTTGGCCTCAACACGGTCGTTCATCTCGATCTTCTGGCACCGCTGGGCATATACCCGCCTCCCATTCAAGCCAGCTGCCTGCTACCTGCTGCCATCGTGGTACGCCCAAGGCACCGTCACAATGCCAACCGTGACAAGAGCACCCGTGGCCGATGCGCATCTCAACCAACACACGTATCACCCCGCGCACACAGGAAGGGCAGGCCTGGCTGCGCCTGTTTTGGCCCGTAATACTTCACACAAGCAGCTACCACCTCTATTACAACATGGTCTCGCTTCTTTACAAAGGTTGGTGGTCTGCAATGTCGGCGGATGCTCGGATCTGTTGACACTGAAGGGGGTCCAGAGGACAGGTTCTGATAGCTGCTGGGGACCTTGGACCTCGACCTTGACCTGCTCAACCCGCGACGTGTTTTTTGCAGGACGCAAATTAGAGCCCCGCTTGGGCACGGAACGCATGCTCATGCTCACTGCTCTCTTTGGAGTGGGAGGGAACATGCTGCACACAGGTGCGAGAGTCACCAACATCTTCTCCGCTGCCCACTGGTTGTTGCTAATGTCGGTGTTACTGTTGGTATCACAGGTCTGGCCTACCTTCTTCATTTGGCTGGCTTTTACGATTCTTACGTGAGCTGCAGCGTCGGCTTTTCCGGTGTGCTGTTTGCTTTGAAGGTCAGCTTTGCGAGTTTGCAGGGCACCAGTCCTGACCCACCGCTTTGCAAACCAGAGTTCTGCATCTCTGGAGCACTTTTGCCCTGTCTGAGGGGTGTACCAGCTCAGGCAAGGCGCGGATACTCTGTAGGTGGTTTTACAAGACTCGGAGCCCCCATCAGCAACGTCAAGCGTGATGGGATTCCGCGTGCCCACCCGATGGGCTTACTGGATTGAGCTGGGACTGATTCAAATCATCTCGCCCACACGCATCTCGTTCCTCTCGCATCTTTGTGGCATTGCCATGGGCTTGGCCTACACACGTGGCTGGTTTGGCGGTCTTTTAGCTTCGGGTCGCACCATTTTTCTTGGTGCTGAGGACTGGCTCCTACCTGCTGAAGGGGAACATACCCATTCATACCATCCCCGAGCCCGGTTCACGCGTAGGTCAATCGGCCTCTGTGCATATGCAATCGCCACACACCCTTATTTCTGAAAACCTGTTTTTGGACGTCTTCTCGCTGATGGTGTAGAGGTGCGACAACCAACGGGATTTCGCTCGCCTGGAGCTACCTCCACGCCACCAGCCACCGCCACTCCAGAGGCAAATGGAGACGCCTTGTACACCCTGCGTCAACGCCGCCTGCAGCGCTTGGGCGGTACCGGGGCAATGTCTTAGGTTTAGTCATCATACGATAAACTTCAAATCCAGAGAAAGAGAAAATTGCAAACGAAAGAGCAGAAGAGAAAGGAGAACGCGAATGGGAGCACCAGCTAGCAGAGAAATCGGTCGATGCTTAAGTTCCAGACGAGCTGCTCACTTGAGCCTTGTACATATCAAATAGAGGAGAATAATATCTTCATTTCGTTAGTTGAGTGCCTTCCTGCTTGTAAACTGAAGGTGGTCTAGCTGAGTTGTGTATCTAGATCCGTCAAAGGCACATAGCGAACAGCCAGCCCACGCACGTCACACTGCTCGAGCCCTGTGGTCGTACGCCTCACCTGTATTCAGTACCACCAGAGTGAGAAGCAGACTCTTTAAGCGTGGGGAGCACCATCAAGCGAACGAACGTACTTGAACAAGTTCTTGAACCTCATCCATGCAACCCAGAGGCGCGACAAGACACCCGCCAACCTAGATAGGAGACCGTGGCATCGCAGTCAGCAACGCGTCGTGCATTCAGGCGGTCGTACGGTGACCTCGGACGGTGGGCACGCATTGTTGCAAGGAGGGATGGCGGGAGATACGAGCCTTCAACTGTTGGGTGAGCGCTGGCAAGTCTTTCGGGTCCAGCGCGGCGCCAACGTGGATCCTATTTCATGAACAACAGGCCAGTCATATCCATTCAAAAACGACGAGTCAAGAGGGAAGGCTTGCTTAGGAGGTTTTGTGCAAGTTGTTGGCGCATGTTGACCTACGCATCAAAGGGTGCCGCCTCTGGGTAGCCACGGCGGCCATCGCCAACCTGAAAGCGTATCTATCCCGTTTTTCATACACGAGTGTGGGTACTTTTCCAATCTAAACCTCATTTAAATGGGTTTTACCATAGGCAACGTACTGCGCCACTGTGGAGAGCATTGGGGCATGCGCTTTCAGTATTCCGGCGAGCCGTCACCACTAGATCTTCCACGTGATCTATTCCCAGCACATGTCCTTGATGTTGCATCTACCTCCGACATTGACAGCAATGAGCTGCTCGAGAACACGCCACGGCATGAGTCACCAGCCACGATACCTCACCGCAGCACTCATGAGCACGGAAAAAATGCCGGAACCACAGCCCACATCTAGCGCAGAGGCGCCGGGCTGCAAAACCTCGAGCAAGGCCTCAAGGCAGTACGCTGATCAAAACAAGAAGCAACCAGTCATCAGCTCGGGGCGTGCGTTCATCGAAATCAGTAGCCATCCAATTTAATTCCTGCACAGTCGTCGTACCATGCATATGGGGGGCAGAAATGGTCACAGCATGGCCAATCCTACGTTTGTCGGTCCATGAGAAGGACCAATACACCCATGCACCAGGATATGGTTGCGTGGCCGCTGTAAGCGCGGAAGACGGGGGGTGGACATACAGCTGCGGTGCATCATGATAGGCCACACCCTGCGATCGGACAAAATGTCGGCGATCCACTTGTCCAAAGACGGCTTCACCACGCTTGGTGGTCAAGATGCCTGCCGCTGAGTCGGTGCAACGTGCAGGGACTAGACGGTCAATGTCTACGCAACACACTCAAGACGGACGCTTCCATTTTGTCAGGCCAAACCTCGGAGTGCGCTTGTCAGCTCCTCTTGTGATCGTCCACTACATTGCCATGCCATGCTTCTCGATGCCTCGTAGCCGTGCTGCAACCACCAAACAACCTCCCTTGCCCGCCATCAATCGTCGAAATATTTTAAAGCAACTGACTTGGAGTCCTTCCTTCAAGAACGAGAAAAAAAAAATTGAACGTGAAATGACAACACATCAAACATCAACACAAGTGCGCGAAAGAACGATTTGCTCTCAACCTCTGTCTCTGTCTCTCTCTGTGTCTCTCTCTGTGTCCCTCTGTGTGTCTCTGTCTCTCTGTCTCTCTGTCTCTGTGACTCTGTCTCGCTGTCTTTTCTCATCTCTCTGTCTCACTCTCTCAAACTCTCACTCTCTCACTCTCACTCTCTCACTCTCACTCTTTCTCACAAACCCAAACACTCTCACAAAACTCTTTCGCTCAATTTGTGCGGCGATCTCAGTGGTGCTGGGGTGAAAACACATTGGAGTACGATGCAACAAGGGATAACACATGGGCCCCGGGGCCGAGGATGGGTGGCCAAGTGCCTGGTCGTGTTGGTGGGATTATGTGCGGTGGCGTGGGCTGGCTGCCAATCCGACCTCGATTGCAGTCTCAATGGTCAGTGCGGCCAGTCTGGGCTCTGCACGTGCTTTACCCCTTGGGCCGGCGAGCAATGCGGCATCCTGCAGGTTGGGCGCCCTGAACATGCTTGCAACGCTCTTGTCTTGTCGCCAACCTAACGCCTGATGCGTATCTGGGCCATCTGCTTACTTTTGGGGGGGAATCGGGACCCACTCTTAGTTTGCCCCTTCGCCCAACCAGGCCATCTACGGCCGACCCCAAAACAAGACCTCCTGGGGCGGTAATATGGTCCATTATCAAGGCCAATGGCATCTCCTGGTAACGGAGATGAGAAGCGGTGGTCTCATCAACTGGACTACAGATAGCCAGGTATGCGGCTCTCCTCTCAATGCCTTGCCCACACATGGCTATTCTTATCCGTGGCGCATAGGTGGTGCACGCCGTTGCGGATACGATTGAGGGCCCATATACGCGTGAAGCAGTGGCCCTTCCCGTTCCTGCCCACAACCCCATGGTAAGCCTGTGATGTAAAGAGGCTTTCTTCTCCATCAGACCCGAGACGCTGCTGACCGGCATCACCTTGATACAATGTGATGGTTAGGTGATCAACACAACCGATGCTACTGGCCAGCCCCTCTTTGTGCTCTTTCACATCTTTTCAGGGGGCTCTGCCCTGCCCGGTGCCGTGGTGCACTACAGCGCCAGTCCCACTGGTCCCTGGCAAGCAGCCGAGCTGGACGTGCCCTCTTGCAACAACCCCGCACCCATGCTGCATGCCAATGGCACCTGGTTCCTGGCGTGCAACGAAGGCACATGGGAGCTATACCGCAGCCAGGGCAACTTTACCGGACCTTACACAAAAGTCGCGGCTTTGCCCAAGAATCCACCCTTGACCGGGTAAGAAAATTGGCAGCATTGAAGATCTTTTGTTCCCTGTCGAATACAGTTGCAGCCACCTCGGCCTGTCGATTCCATTTCTCTGCCCGCATTTCTGGACGTCGTCGCCGAGCAAGTTCTCTTCCTCTGACTGTCAGGGTGTTCGTACGCGTAGGGTATGGGAAGACCCATTTGTATGGATTGATGCCCGAGGCAATTGGCACATGATTGGCCATGCCTACAACGAGGTCCTTATGGAGAATTGCAACAAGTCTTTGGTGCGCCCGCCGCCAGCAGTGCAAAGACGGTGCTCTTGTATCGTTCGCTTGATGGCCAATGAAACGCTCAACTAACTGATTTGACTTTTGGCCCTTCCCGTAGGCCTCGGGTCACTACTTCTCGCCAGATGGTTTGGTCTGGCATGCGGCAACTGCAGAGCCCTATCATACAGCTGTGCGTCACATTTGTTCGATTGGCCGACCTTGAGACTCGTCCCATACCCGCCCTAATTGTGCGATGTCCTCCTTTCGCTGCCACGTTTGGTAGGTGACCTTCACCGACGGCACCACGCACACCTTTGCGTCACTCGAGCGTCCCAAAATCATTGTCAACGGACAAGGCCAGGAGGCATATATCGTGTTTGGAGCTTCACCCGATGAACACTGTAACAACACGTGCACGCGCTGCAAAACGACGCCAGGCTACGATCATACCTACACCCTGATCCGACCCCTTGTGATCTAGAGCTGTCGTGCGTGAGGTGGGTGTTGAGAATTGACTAGACCCTGTCTGGCTCAATAAGCCTTCTGGCTGGAAAAGCCATGCCACATCAATTGAACGCTGTTTACAAGCAGGCCATTGCCTCTAGCCTACCAGTCCAGCGTATCGACCACGCGCTGTTCGCGGCGCGCACGCTCGGCTGAAAACACAAGTAGATGAGATGCGAGCGCATCAGCTGCCGAGGTCTCAATCAGGGCCGGGTTATTTTCGTGCACGGCTTGCACAAAGGCCTTCATGAGAAAGTAATCTGCACCCCCATGCCCCAGCATTCGTGACGAGGCCGGAGGCTGCTCGCATTGGATCACATGCTACAGATCCACAAAAGTTGGCCCATCCGTGAGGTTGTCAGAGAGAAGGCACCGAAGCAGAGGCTGTCAGCACCCGATGCCGGCGTCGAAAACGAACCCGTTGTTGTGTGCCAAAGTCAAAATGCTCGATGGTGGAGCTATCATAGCAGCGGAGCTGTCCTTCTGTGCCATAGAAGGTGGTTTCACGTTGACACAGCTACAAGGCCATTATGCTTCCAAAGTGAGCTTGGTAACAAAGGAAGACATCAAAGGCACGCACACGGGCAGGCGCCCGCCCACCTTTTCTGTAAAGGCAATCATGGACAGCGTTGCCGTTTCACCACCTTCAAATTGGAAGGATACAACCTGGTTGTCCGCCTAGTAGCATTCATGGTGCAACGGCATGAGGTATTGGACCACTGATACAAATCGGGATCAATGGGGTAGCGATAAAGGAGGATGGGGGGGGGTGGCTGGATTAGCATTTCATCATGTCTTCTCGGCCTCGAGTGTGTACTCACAACATCATTGTCACACTGCCACACGCAGCGGCCGTATGGGCCTTCCCGTACAGCCTTTTCCACCTCGTGCGGGTCGCGTGCATTGTCTGATATGTGGGTATAGAGGCGAGGAGGCGGTTCAAGCGAAAATCCAGAGGTAAGCAATGTGGTCTTGCTCGACAGACTGCAAGATGTTGGTGCGACAAAGAGACAAGACTCGTTCCTTCTACCATACCCACACTCACCTGTAATGTGGGAGGCAAACCATCCCTTCTCCATATAGATGCGCTTGGCCGAGTACGTACAACTGTCTTGCACTAACAGGTTGGATTGACAGCGTGGGTGGGGTGTCAGAGAGGCGACGCAGCTGAAGCTTGAGCACAAGATGATTACAAGCAGGTGCATGGGTGTGCCTTGGACGCACGGGGACAATCGAGACAGCGTGCTGCGGCTTGAGCGGGCTTGCGTTTTGAATGAAACTCGCTCAAGGAGCCAAAACTGGACACGCCCGTACACTTGATACCACCAAACCACCACCTTCAGATCGGGAATGGCATGTGAGGACATGTTCTGAGCTGGTTGGGCAACCGCAGTTGGGCAGTGCCCGACCACGAGTAACGCGCGTCAAAGGAAATCCTGCCAGCGGGCCGTACCGGATCAGGTCCACATCGTGAACGCATTTGGCCATGAGAGCAAAAGAACTCTCGTCCTCGCGGCGCCAGTTGCCTCGGACGAAGGAATGGGCAAAGTGAAAGTAGCCCACGGGTTCGGTGTGCTGTGGGCACAAGAGCATGGCTTGAGTCGCATGATGACTGGCTGATCCGGTGCAAGAAAGATGCGGTGGGTGTGCGAACAGGGCGTGGTGGTCGGACCGAAATGTTTTTCAAGGCGCCGATGGTCCCATCAGCTACCAGCTGGCGCAGACGCTGATTGACGGGCGAATATCTATCTCCGCGGGCCCGAGGGATGTGGCCATGAGACAAGGGGGCGAGGGTCATCATCAGGCAAATTCAGGCAGCTTTGCTGGCGCGTAAATAAAAGCGCAAGACGGGCTGGTCCAGCAACAACCGACCGTAGGACGTGGCAAACGCAGAGCATCACGCCGTTGGCTTCACAGGCCTCGGCGATGGCTCGGCAGTCCGCCGCGGTAACGGCCATGGGTTTTTCCAGCAGGATGTGGTAGCCCAACTTGGCAAAGGCCACTGCAGGAGCCTGAGCATGCATTCATGGACAGAACGGGCGGCGGTGGTAGTGAGAGAAGGCCCAAACCGCAGCCACTGGGTCGAGAGCTGCCGAGAGGGGGAGCTTAGCGTGAACCTTGTGCATCTGGTCCTGTGTGGTGATCATGGCCACATCGGCAAACTTGGGTACGGCAGCGGCTGCTTCCCACGATTCAAAGGTGTGTGCTTCTGGAACGTCATGGTTTTGTACGACGCGTTGGCGGCGCACCTCGGTTGGCTCAGCCACGCCCACGATCTGAAACAAATCTGGATGCTCAAGGGCGTACTGTCCGTAGCCCTGGCCACGATGCCCTGCTCCCACAATCACAGCGGTGACGGGTGCCATCTTGCCTGGTAACTTGGTAAAGGAGCGATCAAAAGCAAGCAAAGCTCAAAGCTACATGCAATCCTTCGCAAAAGGCTTCACAAAGTTTTTTTCAAAAATAAAATGCCACAGCCGGCGCATCGCCATTCGCGCCACCGCACAGGAGTTGTCCGCAGCAACAACAACAACGGCAACAACAACAACGCCACTTGCCAACACTGCACACACACACACTCTCTCTCTCTCTCTCTCTCTCTCTCTCTCTCTCTGTCTTCTCTCTCTCTCGCTCTCTCTCTCTCTCAAACACCTTTTGTCAGACTTTTTATGTCGTTGTCCGCACTTTGACTTCATTCTCTTCATTCTCTCTCTCTGTCTCTCACACGTGAAAAAGCGGCGGCGACGACAAGGATGGATGCGGCGATTGCTCAGGTGATGGCGGCCTTGGCGGGCATGCCACCGGCGCAACGCCGGCAACAGGCCGCGCGCTTGATGGAAATGCTGCAAGGTACGTTTATGTTTCTTAAACTGTTCGCGGGGGGCGCAAAGGACATTGCCCAGCCACGTGCACGTCCAGGCGTTGTCACATGCATGATCTTGTTCGGATAGAGGCGCAAGAGGTGCCCGACGAGGACCCTGTGGCCACCCGTGCCGGTATGAAGCCACACGCACCCTGTATCTTTGCACGTGGATGGCCCAAAAAACCACCGCGCGCTACCCGTTGGTTGAGATGGAGCAAAGGGCAGGCTGACGATGCGTGCGGCGCCAGCTGCTCCAGGTCGTGCCCTTGTTTCCGTGCACAACGACCTTACTGATATGCTTTGTGATATTCGCCGACAATTAGATGAGGCGCGCCAACGCTTGGCAGACATCCGGGCTCACCTTTTGGGGCACGTTGGCTGGCGTGGTATGGCCCCTGACGAAAAGATTGTCTACCCAGAGCACGGTGATGTAGGTCCTGCCGGCGTGGGCTGTAGCTACGATCCACACTTGTCACGTCTGGCTCATGTCGCTATCCGGAGCCGTGTGTAGATGGGCAATGTGAATGACCAGACGGCTTGCCATGTTGACTCCTTCTTGCTCGACAACGACGCCGTTCAAGAGCTGATCGAAGCCGAGGAGCTGGCAGAGTATTACTGCAAAGACTGTTCGAGTCGCCGCATTGCCCCACTCAGTGCGTGCTGTCGCCCACTCAGATACGCGCTTTCATTCGTGATCATTCCTTTGGCAATGGGCCCGACACCGCTCAACTCCTGCTGCCGGACCTCGGCGACACAGCCTATATCTCGCATTCCATGTCGATGGCCCAGCTGCAGTTTCTCTTCCGCGATGTCCTGGATCGACAGCTTCGCCATTTGCTGCCAGCCAAGAGCGAGGAAGTGACGCTAATGGACATTGGCTCGCGTCTTGGTGCTGTTCTGTATGCGGTAATGCCTCGGCCGTGATGCCCGCTTCTCTTTTCCTTGGCATGCAGCCCTCCTTCCAACCTAAGGCCCACCTTCATTTGGCAGACTGCGGCAACTCACGTGTGGTTGGGATCGGCCTTGGGCATGGTGGGGCTGTGTAGGGCTACTTCATGACAGACTTTGGGCACCTGGTTGGCGTTGAAATGGAAGACTACTTTTGCGGGCTGCAGCGCGATGTCATCAAGCGCTTCAAACTTCGCCCCCGTGTTGAAGTGAGTGGCGTAGCCCGCCTTCAGGCCTGCTGTTTCGGAACCTTGGCAGCGGCAGCTCAACACGCATGCCATCTGATTGCGTGGCTCGCTCACAAAACGTTGGGCCCACTGCGGAATAGGTTGTATGCGCAGACGTCCAGCACGAGGTCTCCCGCGTCCGTCGGGGTGCGTTAAAGTTTACAGGACCTGCTGTCGCCTGTGCCTCTGCCTGTCCGCCCATGCCTGCCCTTTTGCACCTCACAGTAGGCCCTCTTTGCCCAATGCAGCAAACGTAGTGGTCATGCACAACGTCTTTGAATTTTTTGGTGACCTCGACAGCCGGCGCGCGTAGGTGGAGCCCTGCTGCGGCCACCCTCTCTGACCAGGCAAAACCGATATCATACATGTTTCCTAATTCACCTCTTGTGCACCAGGTTATGGCGGACCATGCGCCAGGCCCTCAGTACACCTGAGCAAATCTTGGTCACCTGCCCCAGCTTGGAAGAGTCCTTATCCAACTGCGAGGTGCGCCCTGCCGAGTGGCCTTTTAGTTTTTGATGGACCCTCTGACTGCCCACACTGCCCCTCCGGCCAGCTGCTAGAGGAGTTGGACCTCGACACCTGGGTAGAACCCATCGAGGTGGAATTCCCCCAGGCGCTGGATGAAGACAGCTCAGATCACCATGGTTCGGACGACGACGACGATGACGACGAGTTTGTTGAAGAGGCCAGCTCCCTTCACTTCTATCGTGTCTTAGGCTAACAGAGAGAGAGCGCGCGCGTGATCTCATTGAAAATCGACTACCAAAATAGAGGGGTAAATTAAAAATTTCAATTGTTTCCGTAAGCGTTATCAACAGGTGTTGTGTTCGACAGCCCTTGGTGACGAGACGATTTCCTCCTTCTGAATGCTCAGGTGCCAGTTGAGGGTTGAGGGAGGGGGTGGTCAGTTCATGCCGGCTGTGAGCGTTTGTTTCGCGTGGGGGGCAGGGCCGGTAGACGGCAGTCATGGATCCCTTTGAAGCAGAGACGGCACTGCATGCAGAGCTTCCCTCGGAGATTCAATCCCAGCGTATTGGTGTACGTTGCAGTTGTGCAGGCAAACAGTCCCCCTGCGCCCCAGGGCCAGTCCTGGGCTCCCTCTGTTCTGGACGGCACTCGCTCATCCTTGGGATTTGTGTTGGCTTGGATGCCGTTTATACCATCGACAAATAGCACCTTCTGCAAAACACCTTTCGCGATCTGTACAGCCAACCAGATCTCAACTCGCTGCCCCCTGCCGTGGAAGAGGAAACGGATCGGTACCGCCGTGAGCTGCGCCAAGTCAGTCAAGTCAAATTAGGAGCACGAATACAAAGCCACCATGCCTGCTTCGTCCTGAGCTGCACTGATCTCTCACACCCGCGACTTCACTCCTCTTTTGACCCAAACTAGATTTTTGAGGAGCGGGATACGCTCCAACATCAGATTGCAAATCAACTTGACCTGCTGAGCAAGGCTCAGGTTCGCCCGCCAGCTCCACTCTGCCCTTGTGGAATGAGAATAAATAATACAATTGGAAGCAGCAAAATTTGCCTCATCCCCACTGCTTCGTAACATGTTGTAGGAGGCTATTAAGCAGGCGCAAGATGACTACTATCAGCAACACCTGGCCCGCTTTTCGGAGCATGCTCAACTTGCTCCTGCCAGTACGCTTTGACATGCATTGCCTAGACACGAGCACGCATGCACATGGGCACGCATCTGTGCTCCATCCTCCTCCCCGCGCCTGCCCCTGCTCCACACTCACGGATGCGCCTCTAACCCCGCCAGGTGGCATCTCCATCGTCGAGACAATATCCCCATTGATGGAGTCAACCGATCTTGCAGCAACCATGCCCGTCAATATTCTGCACCTCGTCAGCCAGACAGTGCCCAAACGTGCCAAACCACAGGTACAGACGCCCTGGTGCACCTCATAGCGTGTAATGGACGGTATCAAACGCGGTTTTTCAATGCACAAATGCTCGTCTCCGACGCCAGGCCCCGCAAACACCAGGCTTTGCCAAAGCCACCGCTGCGACAATGCGTCGCCTCGAAGCTACAAAGCCCCAGTGCGTGGCACCCTCCCTCCCAACGTACTTGAATTTTGCCCAACGTCGCCACACTGGTACTTCTCACCGCTTGGGTCATGCTCTTCAGTCAAAGCCGTAGCCACAGCATTGGCTCCGTGGGCAGCACTTGGAAGTCAAGCACAGCTGTTCCGGTAAGCCAGGAAGGCCAATTCTTGATCGACTTGCTCAAGTCCGCCCGCCCTCCGCCCGAAGCCATCCTTCCTGTGATGGAATCATTCACCTGTTCCGTTTGTCTAGCATGCTCCGCCAAAGAAACAACTGCTCAAGGCTTCAGAGGCGGAAACGAAGAAGTTGGTGGCCACGTATCGACGCAAGCAACAGTTTTCTGTCAACCCACGCCACCGATCCCTCGACCCCAACGATACGGAGCCTCAGGTATCTGCAACCATGCTTGCCCTGTGTCCTGCTCCTAGCCTGGCCGCGCCACACACTGTGTGGGCGTTGACGGCACACCCCGGCGATGTTGGTTCAAGCTTACGTTATTGACTTGCCCGTATTTCGCCCAGTCGGACTTGAACGGGACCTTTCGTCGCCGTGTACAGGGCGCCCCTGATCCCATTCGTGTCACACCCTCCAAGGTTGGGCTATGATTGATATGGCACGCTTACTCCTGCGGTACAAACGCATTCATCAAAGACTCATGTCCGCTCGACGATGTGCAGCTCTTGTTTGATGAGTTTTCCACCAAGCAGGCCTGCACGCGAACGCTCAAGCTTACAAATACCACAGGCTACATGAAGCAGATTCGCGTCCTACCCCCTGCCCACGAAGCCTTTGGCATTCTTGAAGTCAAGTACCCTGCCGGTACGGCATACATGTTGCTTGGACCATCTCTCTTTGCGGAATGAGCGTGGGTACCTTGTTTTAGGACGTGTGTGCCCGCATGACCGGTGCTATTCCTATGCTCTGAAATACGCTGCAACTAGATGAAGAACGCGGTGTGGCACCAGGCATGTCCGTGGAGGTATCCGTCGTCTTCAAGCCCACACATTTGGGCTCATACACGGGCACCCTCACTATCGTGCCGGAGGTGTGTGCGTGCTTTTCTCCGCGGCCCTGCCCATCAACCCCAGCTTCCAGCGTTTGGCACTTAGATTGCCCCTACTTCTATACTCTCACATGCCACGCATATACACAAAAGGGTTTGGAGCCATTTGAGGTTGACTTGGTCGGGGAGCGTCATGCTCCGGGGCTCAACATTCCGGGAACATTGGAGCTCGATCCTGCATTGGTGGGCACTTGCACAACCAAGTCTTGGAGCTTTCTCAACACAGGCGGCGCCTGCGTCTGGCGCGTAGTCGAGCATCGCGACCAGGACGCTCCGACCCTATCAGAAGAGGAGGAAGCTGAGCTCATGTCCATGGAGCTTTCGGAGGATGAGCGAAAGCAGCGGCGCGAGTTGATGTGGCTGCAAGAGCATGGCATCCTTTTCCGCGGGCTTGCGGCTGATTTGACAACGCTTCCAGAGGCCACTTGGGCTGAGTATCACGGCGCCGAAGCCCTCGACATTGGGGATTTTACTTTTCTGCAAGCCCGGCAATCCGTGCGCGCTGGTGAGCACGCTATTTTTGACATCTCCTTCGCGCCCACAGCCGAGGGGCATTGCACTGCATCGCCAGTGCTCCTGCTTGATAACTGCACCATGGTGCCGCTGACGATCCAAGCACATGCCTTCGAAACCCGTCTTGAGCTTGAGGCTGATCTCTCTGAGGACTTTCGCAGGTACAGTCAGTCCCATGGTCACCGCCTTTGCACCAATGCACCAGCCTTACCCCCGCGGCCTCCCCTGCACAAACAGACGCACCACCTGGGCCTTGCCGAGCGCTGCCGCGGGCTGCAATGCCACACACAAACTCATCGTCACCAACCCCATGCAAGTACCCGTGCCTGTGCGTGTGACCATCTGCGGCCCGGATGCACACTGCTTCACGGTCACTGACGGCACCTTTGAACTCGGTCAGTTTGGCTCGGCCCTGAGCAGCGCATGAATGCATCATTTCTCTCTGGGAACGGCGAGGGCCCAAGGGCACCTGTGATAAGGCTTTTTCCCGCGACATCTTACCTCGCTTGTCGACCTAAACATTAGGTGCTTTGGAAGATCGAGGTGTAGAGGTTTCCTTCGCGCCTCCCGTCGATGTGAACTCAGCCACCGCATTTGAGGTAGGACACATCCTTGGAATGACCGCAATTCAGTGCTTGGCGCCAGAATGGCGTGGCAGTGTGATAAAAAAAGAGAAATGGAAAATGAAAAACTGACATGTGGTGCTGGGCGCTCAATTTCTGTCTTATCTAGACAACGGTCACCATTGCCTGCGCCGACGTCATGGAAGGCGCAGCGACTTGGGAACGCGAAATTGTGCTGCAAGCTGTTGGCCACCCACTTCGTGTGCGTTGCGTGCATTCTCGTCAATTCATGTCCTGCTCCATGCGCGTCACACAGCCTACTACGCAATCCCATGTCGAGAACTACGGGCTCGAGAAGCACCCATTTTTTGGCTCTTGTTTTTGGTGGTGGTGGTGGTGGCTGTTGTTGTTGTTGTTTTTTGTCGTTGTTGTTGTTGCTGCTGCTACTACTGCTGCTGCTGCTGCTGCTGTTGTTGTTGTTTTTGTCGTTGTCGTTGTTTTTCTTTTCTTTTGCATCCGGCTTGGGGCACTTGTTCAGATGCATTGGCCTCATCTTACCTGATACATTGCTTGTTTAGATTCCTTTCACACCAGCGTTGGTCAATTTTGATGTTGGTGCTGTGCTGGGTCAAGTCTACACGCGTGACTTGACCGTGTCCAACCCCTACCCGCAATCCCTCGAGATTGATTTTGAGCTTTTGGCTCTAGACATTGGCCTTGTTACGATCGAGCCCGCGCGTGGTATGAATTGCTTTGAAGCCCTGGCTCAGTGTTCTTGGCACGTTGCTGCTTGCCCAGCGCTCACTTTGCATACCAATCTCATCGGTCTTGCCGCCGCCTTGTCCGCCTATTCATTCAACTTGAATCAAGCCACAATCCTCAGCGGGGATCAAATCAACCTTCGCGTCACCTTTCGGCCCGCCAAGCCTGGCTGCGAACAGGTGCCCAAACACCGCTTGCTGCGCTGATGAGTCTTTTGCTCTGCTCATCGCCTGAACTTTGCATATACTCTGCTACCTTTTTCCTGCCAGGATGCCGTTTTGCGAGGCCATGCTCGATGTGGTGCTGCCGTCGCTGTCCTGCCTGTCCCTCTGCTAATTTCTGTGGCCAAGCCAGAGCTCGTAGTATTGCCGTCGAGCCTGTTTCTGGGCGTTGCTCATCTGAAGGACCACCTGACCGATGTGGTGGAACTGACCAACCCCATGCCGGTGCGTCGCTGCTTGCATCGCGAACACCGTGACCCAGAGTGGTAGGAGTGAGGTAACAGTGCACGGCTTTCTGGCTCCTTACTTGCCGCGCAACTTGCTGCCATAGGTTCCGTTGGCCATTGCTGTGGACTGTGCAGCCTCGGACGGCTGCGTCTCTGCGTGTCCCCCTGCTCTCACGCTGTTGCCCTTTTCATCGGCGCCGGTACGATTCACGGTGTGCGCCAAGCGTGAGGGACGCACACGGCACACCGTTGTATTGTGCTATGGCCAGCAGCAGCGCAAATATGTGCAATTGGAATGTGTTGGCCAGCAACCTCGACTTGTGTTTGAAACATCGGCCTTGCAATTTCCAGAATGCTTCGCAGGTCGACCAGTCACGCAACACGTGCAAGTTTACAACACAACGGCCCTGCCCTTGAGCTATCGGGCGCGCCCGGGGGCGCTTTGCCTCGACAACTCCCTTGACACGTTGACCGGTGGGGAGGACGACCCGTACCAAGTGACCTGTTCACCCCCCTGGGCCGTGATAGCACCCTTTGAGTCAATGCCCTTAGCAGTGACGATGCGTGGCTGCAAGGTGGGGCCATTCCCACCCATGGCGCTGGTGCTCGACGTGGAGGGCAACGAAGAGCCTGAACCCCTTCTGCTTCAGGGCCACGTCTTGGGCGTTCGCCTTGCTGTGGCACTGGTGCGCAACCCTGGCCGCGGTGCACCTCAGCGAATTCGCACCCCTCGCCAATCACTCATTGATGACTGTCAAGAAGTACAGCCGGCGTGTAACTTTGGTCTGGTCCAACCAGGCCAGGCCGTGCAGCTGGGACTCCAGCTGCGCAATCTCAGCGAAGTACCCGTCGACCTATACATGGCACCCGTAGCGTTTGGCAGCTCTTGCCTGGTGCAAGACTCGATGCACGTGCGCGAGGGTCTGTTATCACACGCCGAAGTTGATCCCGCCACGGTGATGCGGCGTGAAGAGGCACCAGAGGGCGTGGTCTTTGCTTGCGACCGAAACCACCTGCGTCTGGCCGCGGGTGGCGATGCTATGGTGAACGTGTGGGCCAAAGCCTCACTCTACGGCGATTTTGCGGATGTACTTCTCATTACGGGCGGCTTCATGGAACCGCTGCGCATTCCACTCCGCCTACAGGCCCAGGGCTCAGTCTTGCAGGCCATGATTGGAGGTCATGGGGCAACGCCGGTTCTGCGCTTTGCCGACGTGGACGTCGGGATCATGCTGGACGACAGCACTGCAGATGACGACGCACTCCGGGTACAGACGGCACGTAGCTTCAAGCTTCGCAACTCCTCCCCCTGGGACGTGCTCGTTCGTTTGCGCTGTCTGACGCGCTTGCCCACGGATAAGAAGCTCGTCAATGTGCTGAGCTACACGGACGAAAGCGGCATTCGCCTACGCGTTCGTCCCCACGACGGCACGCCGGAGCCCGTCGTGTTTGAGACTCCGCATAGTAGTTTCCTCATGATGCGTGCATCAGAGCGCGAAGTCAGCGTACGCTTCGCGCCGCCCGGTGTGGCCGACTACCACGGCACCCTTGTCATCACGTGCGAACCCACCACACGCGAAGCTGTCTTGGAACAGAACCGTCAACTCGGCCCTTCTGTCCCGGCAGCTTTGGCCACCACTCGTGCCCTCACCGAGGCTCGACGCTACGGCATTGCCCTCGTCAAGAGTTCCACACCCGCGGCCAACATCACAGGCACAAGCCGCGGGGCGTCGGCCCTGGCGCTCGAGCGCGGCTTGTCTGAAGATGCGGGCAACATTCCACTGGAATGGGCGACCCTGGCGGCCACTGAGCGTGGCAGTCCGTCGGTGCACATTGAGCGCGACATGATCAACATTGAGCGCAACGCGCTCAAAGTCCATCTGGCGGGTCGTGGCATGCGTTGGCACATGGAGCACAACTACGTGGACGGCCTCATATTTGATGTCGACTACATGGCCCTGCTCTCGGCTGGTGCCAACTTCGCTGCGCCCAGCCAGGATCTACGCTTGACGAACCGCTCGACGTCGACCGCACTTTTTACGTGTGAGTTTCACGAGCCTTTTGTGGTGGGCCGTCGCACGGGTAGCCGCCTGTTGCAGGCCGAGCAAGGTGTGGTGAGTGTGGCGCCCAGCCAGTCTGCAAACTTGCAGGTGCAGTGGCGAGGTGTGGCACTGCGTGAGCTGATTCAAGCGGCCCAGATGGCTCAACGCTCATCTGCAAGCTCGATCAAGGCCTTGGATTCAACCTCAAGTCAGCCAACCGCAGCACCACGACTCTCCGGTCTCACTTTGCAGCGTGGAGTCCTCGAGCAGTGGTCCACCTTGGCCCTGCGTAGTACCATGGGGGAGGTGCAAACCCTCTCCGTAGCGGCCCGCATTGCCCTGCCCTCAGTGCAGCTCTCCTCCACACAGGTGTGTCGTTCACACGCTAAGCCCTCTGCCCCTTTGAGAATGGTTTGGAGAGTGTGCCTCTGCGCGTCTGTGAAACATTGGTAGTGCGGCTAAGACTCACGTTGGTGGCGTGGTGGGGCCAACCTTTAGATCAACTTTGGCAACGTTTTAGTCGGGGAGCCACACACCATGACGATTGAGCTAGCCAATTTGGGTACGTGTGTCATTCTCTGGAGGTACTAGGTGGCGGGTCATTTTGGCCTGTCGCGTGTCCATCTATGACCAGGGGTTGTTGTTGTTTGGATTGAAAAGGAGGGCATGACTGACTGCGGCGCCTGTGGATCGTAGGTTTGGCTCCTTGCGAGTGGGAGGCCCGCATCGTCAACTCGAGGAGCTCGGCCGCACTGTTCCATTGTGTGCCTTCATCGGGCGAGCTGGACGCTTTTGTAGACAATGTGGCCAATACACGCCAGGTCGGTAACTTGCATTCACACACCTGTTGTTTCATGCTTTTGGTAAACGTGGCCGTGCGGTTATACCTCTGGTCTGGAGCTGAAAACAGTGTGACGCTTGTTCATAGGCACTGCAAGTGATATTCTATCCTGAAAGCAAGATGCCCTACCGTGCTGTGCTGGAGGTGCGGGTGGCAGACGGCTTTCAGAAACTGACGGCCTCGATTCAGGGACACGGTGGTCTCGATGAAAAGGGCCTCGACAACGCGCTCGTCTGAGTCAGGAGTAGCCAGCCCCTTGTGAGCGCTTGACGTTTGAAACGCAAAAGAATTGTGAAAGCGAATGCAGTGAATAGTTGTATTTTTTCCTTGACGACCAGATCAAACAGTTCACACACACACACACACACACACACACACACACACACACACAGACGAAGTGCAATTGGCAGCTCAAGTGGCAGCGAGAAGATCAACTTGATGGGTCAAGACAGGCCCACAGCCTGTTGAGAGTGGTGACCTTGGCACCCTTTGCTAGGTACTGGTGTACATTAAGAACCCGTCGCGTGCCGCTTTGTCCGTGCTCAACGCCGCTGCTTCCCGGCACAAAGCTGCTGGGAAAACGCGTATCGCGTCGCGGCTGAGGCGGGCGCGTGGTCGGCAGTAGGATCGGACTCTTCTCCTGCAGTCATGGCGACACAGTTTGCCTTGGCCACAGATGGCCAAGCTGAGCGGTATGATGCTGCGTGGTCGAGTTTGATCACCAACATTCAACGGCTCTCCTCATGCACTTCGCTCGGCGGGCATGTTTCAACTTAGTTTGACCGCCTTGTACCGGGCAGCTCATGAAGCGGCAGACTTGCATCGACCCCGGGAATGGGCAGCCGCCATCTCAATTCAAAGGTGCGCTTCCTTTCATAAGAGCTGTCATGACACGGTTCTTTCCCTTTTTTTCGCTCGCGTCTCTGCGGTGCTTCGTGGATGCTGCACCGTGACATGGCCATGTCATGTGTATGCCATCGCCATGGGCCTCACTCTTCGGGGCCGTTGCAGCTGGTTCCGCGGGGTCATCGCACGGCGGCGTATTGATCGCTTCCGCCAGGCAGCCGCCTCCATCCAGGCCGCCTATCGTGGCTATTGCGAACGGATGCAAGTGCGCGCAAAGGTACGACCCTCGTCGGCATGCTGGGCGTGCCTTGCGTTGAGCAAGTTGGCAATGTGTGACCCTGTGCCATTGGCTCGCGAGCTTCTGATGGCATCGCCTTGCTTGCTCTTTTCCATTCTTTGCACCGGTTGATTTCCTGGATTTGCGGATGATCAGGTCCAAGGTTCGCTTGAGCGGCGGCGTCGCCAATACTACAACGAAAAGGCGATCATCATCCAGGCCATGTGGCGTGGCTATTACACGCGAAGGCATGTCTGTGACTTCAAGGCCTACCAAGCTTACATGGAGGCCCTGCGTCAACAGAACGAATTGATGCGGTCAGTTGGCTTTCATAGTACTTGCACGCGCTTGATTTCCGCTCGAGCGCGCTCTGCTGCAACTTGTCTCTCGCCGTGAATCGGACTGATGTGCTCAATGCCGGAACGTACTTTCAATCGTGCTCGGCCTTGTACAGTGAGCAACTTCAGAACTTTGAAGCTGAGCAAGCGGCCAAACGTGAGGCGCGCGAGCGGCAGCTTGAAGAGGTGGGCTGTATTCTACTTTTTGATTTCCAAGCGGCGGTGACAGTGGATTGGACTCGAATGGTTGAGTGGGCCCCCTCACAACCTTGACTGTGACGCTACCATTGGTGCAACAGGAACGCGAACTTCAAGCCATGGAAAAGCAACATTACCTTTTGAGCACTCAAGCGGTTTGTGTTTGGTACCCAATACCACAGCTGCGCTGGCTTTTGAGGTCTCAAATGCTGGCTGACCCACGCTTTGTGGCCGGGCTCGCCTGGCGTTTTGTGTCGCAGCGCGAGGGTGTTTTGGTAAAAGAAGCCGGCCGGCAACGCGAGTTGGAAGTGCGCGTTGTGGCGCGCACCCTTCGCCAAGATGATCTGGTACGGCTTGCCCCCATCCTGAGTTTATGGGTCAGAACTTGGTTCGAAGTACCAAATATACGCGCATGCGCGCGTGTGGATCTGCACCCTGGTACCCCGCCGTCGAATTGGCGGGGGGTCCCATGGTTCAGCTTGCTGGTTCTCTTTCCTCACGATCGATTTCATGTCTCATATCAAACACAGCGGGCAACACAGCGCAGCAATTTGCGCCAAGGCAAGAACCAACCGCACCCGGACCAAGAACTGGTGAATACATTGCGCAGCTCCATGCGGCTAGACCGCGAAACGACTGGGTCGCAGCGAGGCTGGCTCTCGGGGACTGTCAACAATCGCAACGTTTATCGACCCCAAGGCCCCTTTAAGCATCCACTTGAGGTGCAGTACTTGAAACAGCGACCCCACAATCTCAGCTTACGCGCGGCAACAGAGTTTGATAGCTTCGAGGAACATCAAGCGGCGGTATGTTTCTTGACCTCGGAGCCTTATATCTTTTTTCTTTTATTTTTTCACGCCTTTGGCCTCCAAAGACGCCACACTCGCTGGACCTTCAGCCACCGAACACTTACCCACAACTGACGATTGTTTGTGTCACGTTTATATGGCACCGGCCATTGCAGGAGCGACGGGAAGAGCGACAACGCCTACAACAGACGCTGCCCAAGGTCAAAGGCACACCGCGGCCCGTCCGCCTGGGGGCTGAGTATCAGCCCTCCATCCTGCGCGATGGCCCTTACCAAGGTTTTGGCCCCGGTGACACTCGCCCAACTTACGGTCGGGATGGGTTCCGAGAAGAAGATCGACAAACGCGCTCCGCAACGGGATTTACCACGATGGCTCGCACCAACACGTTGCCTAGCTTTGCTTTGACTGAGTCTTCCTCCCCTTTGTAGTTGATGCCTGTTGTGTATCATTCACTTTGTCAACCCGCCCAGTAATCGATCCATGATGCTATGATCCAAGCTTTGTGCGCGCCATTCGACACTGCTGAACACTCGTTTCACCACCTCACCTAAGTTTTCGACGCCGCGCTGCCTGCTCTATATCGCGTTGGCGCCCGTGCCATTGGTGTATCATGCTCTTACGAATTCCTCGGGCCTGCACGGATGGTCATGATACACATGTGTGTGTGTGTGTGTGTGTGTGTGTGTGTGTGTGTGTGTGTGTGTGTGTGTGTGTGTGTGTGTGTGTGTGTGTGTGTGTGTGTGTGTGTGTGTGTGTGTGTGTGTGTGTGTGTGTGTGTGTGTGTGTGTGTGTGTGTGTGTGTGTGGTGTGTGTGTGTGTGTGTGTGTGTGTGTGTGTGTGTGTGTGTGTGCGTGTGTGTGTGTGCGTGCATTTCACTCATTCACTCATTGCAACACAGGGCCATGTCGTGGGTGTTGGTCGGACGGGCGCTGGTTGTGTGTCTGTTGGCCGCCGTTTGGGGGCAGGCCTTGTTGGTCCAGGCCCAGGGGCGGACGCCAGCGCCGGCGCCAGACTTGCCCTTCCAAACTGCGGAACAGGTTCGCGTTCTTGAGCGGGCTTCAGCCATATCTAACGCCAGCTATGCTGCCGGCGTGGCCAACCTGACGGCGCTGCTCGAGTCGGACGCCTTTCGTGGCTATCTGGCGCAGCTGGACACTGTTGGTGAGCTGCAAAACTGGACAACCGCTGACATTTTGGCAGGTCTGATCGCTGGCCTTGACGTGGCCGAGCTGGTGCACAACTTTGGGCGCTACGATGATGGCAATTGCGGGATGGATGTTACCATGAAGACCGGTCCCGGCCAGCCCTACTTCTACAATCAATGGCTGTTGCAAGCCCTGGGCTTCATTCCCATTGATGTGGCCAACAACGTATTCCCTGACGAATCAGAGGTGCGCTTTTTCGGTTACGTGCCCTTTGTCAATACCTCACAGCCCGACGTCAACACCTCGGCCGATCGCCCCGTGTATACTGGGCTCAACATGTTTCGGGGCAGCCTGGGAAACCCGCAATGTGGTCCCATCTCTGCCGTCTTTAAGCGAAGCTACCTCCAGGGTGCAGCACTGGCTGCTCCCATTGACACGGGCTTGTTCATTGGCCTCTGTGGTGACGGCCAAGGTACGGGCTGGTTTGGCGTACACTGTCATTCATGGGCCACGGCCAATGGCACGCTGGGCGTCTTGGACCAGATGGTCCACCTCTTGCCCATTTGGCTTGAATACTACAATTCCACGCGAGCCCTTGTCGGCGACACCTATCCAGCCTACAACTTGGCCCGGCTGGTACTGCGCTTGCTAGCCCGGACCACTTACACTCGCCCCGATGCCGGCCTGGCTCTCACCTTTGTGGAGAACACCTTTGGCTATCTCGAGGTGAACACGCTGGCCACCCTGCGCTACCCAACCAGTGTAAAGATGATGATGGCATCTTTTGACCTGATGTTTGGCACAGATGAAGCTGCGACGCTGCGCGCCTGGTGTGTGGAGCAGGGCTGGCCCTTGATCTGGGCTACCAATCCTTACGAGACACATTTCATCTGTGCGCCCAACACCAGCACAAACTGCGATGTACCCCCAGACCGGCTGATCCTGGGCATGGAGCGAGCTAACGTACGCGTGCTGGATCCCATTGTGCTCTCGGCCTTGCCTACCTTTGCCAACGCGACAGCTGGCTCAGATTGGTTTGGTGTTCGGGCGCGCTTCAACGCCTCGTGGGCCGCGGTGACGGCTGATCGCTCGGCCGGTGAGCCAACGACGGATGACCTCCGCTTTCGCTGGGACGAGCTCTTATTTTCCACTGATCCGAGTGGTTTGGCACTGGCCAACAGCTCGGCACTGGTGGAGCCTCTCTTTGTTGGGGCCTGTGCTGACCCTGATTGCATCGGTGTTCGTTTGGTGGACGGCGCTTGTGTATGTGCAGAGACAAGCTCTGCTGCCCCATTCCAACGAGTTTGAGGGCCCCTCGCTGGCCGAGCCACACCGCTGTTTGGAAGTTCGGGACACTTTCCGAGCAGCCATTGCCAAATCATGAGAACATGAATGACCCCACTCTTACTTCTTTTAACACCAAAGCGATTGGCCAGCAATCGAATGAATCAATCCTGGAAAAAGTCGAATTGACAGGAGTGTAAGGATGGATGGCAAATGAAGCCAAGGGGGGAGAATGGGTTCGCCAGGGCCACCGCTGAGAGCAAACGAACAAGAGCGAGGCATAGAAATCGGGAAACACTAACGAGGTGGAGAAGAAAACGGAGAAGGCGCGTCGCGCAGAAAGAGAGAGAGCGAGAGAAGAGAGAAAAAAGAGAGCAGCGCGGGGCAGAGAAGTGCGAAGACCCCAAGGGAAAAAGCAGACGCATGGCACAAAAAGTAGCCACGAGGGACGACATCACATGCTGGTCAAACAGACAACCGCCAGGTGACAGAACACGGATGGAAACAAGAGCAATTACGCAGCACAAGACGAGCACGAGACAAGGGAGAACGGCGGCACCAGCAGCACGGCCACTGCGCAACCCGATCAACTCACAAGCCACAGGCATCAAGCGAGAAAAGCACGTCTCCCGACATCGGAGAAAACAACTTGGCGCCACATAGAGAAGCATACAAGAACATTCGTGCGCTCGCCTGGGAGGAAATTTGGTCACAAAGCAAAGAGAAGAGAGCGGCGGTCGCCGGCGAGAGGATCTGATCTAGAGGTATTGAGCAATCCACCTGAACCCTTCAGCATAGCCCTGCTTCTTCAGGACGGTGCACATGAAGAGCTCCATGGGGCGCGATGACAGGGAGCTGCGGGGCACCTGGCCCTTGCCGGTGGTCTGGCCAAAGAGACCAAGTGCAGCGCGGAGTTCGTCTTCACCGGCGGCGTTCGGGTCATCAATCTTGTTGCCCAGGATCAAGATGGGTACATCTGCAATTTGTTCGTCGCTCAGCAAGCTCTGCGAGCATCGAGACGAGGCAAAGGCCATTCGAGACAATTCAATTCCGTGCGCGTCAATGGTGAGTGGAAGGAGCAGCAAAGCAGATGAGTGAATGGCTCGGGAGAAAATAAACTCACATCGAGCTCCTCCTTGGCTTCGGCGAATCGATCGCGAGCAACCGCGTCGACCAGGAACACGACGGCATTCACAGCTGGAAAATATGTTTTCCATACGCGGCGCGCTATAATTCACGGGGGGAAAAAAAATTTATGGATATGAGTCAAAAAAAAAAAAAAAAAAAGTAGAAAAGAAGGGAGGATGGCGTGAAGGAATAGTTTGGAAACAGCTCGAGTGAGCAGCTCGAGTGAGATGAGCGGTGCCAAAGAAAGAACGTCAAAAGGTATCGGTGTAATAGAAGATAACCGACCTTGAGAATGACCACCCAAGTCATACGTGGTGAGAGTCACCTTTTCAATACTGAGCTCCTCCATGGCTGGCAGGTGTAAAGTGGACCAGAGTGAGGGAACCAAATGAGGGAGGGAACCAAATGACCACGAGCGTGCGAACTACAACGGGGGAGCAGAGGGCTCGAGACAGCCTACTTGGGTGGAGGGTAGGCTGAACGGTGGACATGCGGCCCTCGCGAAGCATGTGCAAAAGGGTGGTCTTGCCGGCATTGTCGAGGCCAAGGAAGACGAGCTTGCCAGTCTTGTTGGCGAGGCCAAGGGAGGCCAGGATGGACCAAAACCAATCAAAGATGGCAGACATGCTGACGGTCAAAGGGAGGGGACACACGAGTCACCGAGAACTGACACGGGAGCTACAAATACACAATGGCAAAGAAAAATAAGGCGTTGATGAGGGATAAGGTGATGAAGTGACAGAGCGTAGGGCATAGCCATATGTGTCGAGCCAATGTGTCGAGCCAATGCGTCGAGCACAACACCTGCCCACATTCGACCGATAGGCCAAGCACCTTCACCCCACCAGGGAGACGCGCACACACACACGCACACATTCAGGCACACACACGTATGGACGCGACAACATCTGGCCCTGTATCCCTTGACCCCATGAATCACCCCCCGCCACCGCCGTGGGTGCAAAGCGCAGCTGGTTGAGCACCGTGGTGAACAAGCGGAGCATCAAAAGAGGATGACTCTATGCTCAACGATCACACCAGATGCAGCCAACCGACGCGCAGCAAGCCACCTCAAAAACCGCGCCCATGCAGGGACAAGGCATTACACCTTGCCCCGCCATGCCCAGCCTACGGGTCCACCAAGACGCCACAATGCCTTCCCCGTTGTGGGAAAACAACGAGGGAACGACGTGCCGCTGAGGCACCCATCACAAGGCACGGGCACGGAGACCCCAACGAGCTGACGAGCATGGTGTCGGCAGCCGCTCGTGCCCGGGCAGGCGCATGCACCATTCGCTGCACTCAAACACGAGCATTGCATCCCACGACCACAACCGCTAGGCATTGGACGACAGGCCACGAGGACGCCAACGACGGTTGCGCTGCCATTTTGCAGCAGCAGCAGCTCACACATGCATCACACAATCCCATGCAATCCCCCTTGATAACCCCACACACACTTGACCTCAGGAGCTCTCTTGAGGAAGAGAGAGAGAGAGTTTCTCTCTCTGATTCGGTCGCACTTACACTTGGTCGTGAAAAAATATTTCCTCTTTCTCTCTCTGACGTGGCTAGCGGGCAAGGGGGAAAGAGTGTGACATTTGTTACGGTATTATCTGATGGGTGGATCGTCGACGCGGCACAGCAGTGAAAAGATCTGACATTTATTCTGTATCAATCTTAATGCAGGAAACAATCGGAAAACAATTCAAATACCCATCACTGGACGGTGGCTTGGAGACCAAGTGTCATCCCCTCGTCGCCGTGCTACCACATGTACAGCCACATTACAAAGCCGATGACATGGTATGTCGTAATCATGGGATTGCGCGGTGACCGATTGCAACATCACCCACACCCCACACACACACACCGAACGGCAGACCGGCAGGGCCACAACGACGCGTCTTGGTGTTGTGGCCCTTGGACCCGAGGCCTCGGCCTGTGCCCCTCTCGCTCGCTCGCTCGCGCACTGCCACCCTGCCCTGATTTGGTGCAGTGCCAAAAGAATTCGGACAAGGGGAAACCGGGTACACACAGGTTACTGCACTGCCACCTTGATCAACTCTTGGTCCTCTCCCTCTCTCTCTCTCTCTTCTCTCTCCACTCTCTTCTCTCTCTTCT